TCTAAATATTGTCGCTATAATCTTCTACTAACGTCGTTATAAGTATAAAACTTAATACGGTTTATTTCGATAAACGGCTACTACTCTTTCTCTTTTCTCTATTCTAAAGGTTATTCTTAGAAACCTTTATAGTCAAAGTAAACTCCTATCTTAACTCTTATAGCTAAGACTTCCTATATTCCTACATCTATCGTATACTCTATTTAATCCAAAGAATCTATAATTAGAACTATATAATCAAACTAATAGTAACGACTAGACAATAATTATCTATATCTTAGCTATTTTATAAGTGTTTCTTAGATTCTTTCTATAATCTCCTTCTAAACTTTCTACTCCGCTACTAGTCTTTTTGGCAACTTTCTTTATCTTTACTCCTTTTATCTAATCTTTACTTCTTTATATTTATTTACTTATAGCTTCTCTACTTAGGTTGCTTTTTCTTCTACGTATTAATCCTATTCCTTAGACTATCCTCTTACGACTATCCGTTCTATTTTATTAAAGTCTTTGCTATTCTTATCTCTTTTCGCCTTCTACTCTCTCTTTTAGCGACCTTTTGATTAAAAGTAACCGGTCTCGAATACTAGGCTCCAAATCCTATCTTCGAGATACTTTTATCGGCTATAATATCTTCTTCGCTACCCTTCTCTTAGAATTCTTCCGTCTACTTAGCTACTTTATACTACTAATATATCGGCGACGTCGTAATTAACCTTTTCTAACCTAATCTCGATACTCCTCTTTCTATCTAATAATAAGAAAAGAATATACTTACTAAACTAATATTTTCCTAACAATTATCTATTTTAAGACCTCCCTAATTAGTACCTTAAAGTAGCTAACTCTTTACTAAGATTACTATTGAAAACGGGCTAGGGTACAAAGCTTATTAGTTACAACTATATATATAAAAAACGTATAAGTCTAACAAATAAGATATATACTAACCAATCGGGACGGTTATAGGCGTTATAGGGAAAGATAACTAGGAGTCCCTAAGCTTCCACTCCAAAGTAGATAGGTATCTTAAAGCTTAATTAAATAGAGCCTATTAAACGAGTTAGCAAGTAGGCATTAGTTCCATAGATAAGGTTATATAAGAGACTTTAAAATAAAGGTTCAATAGTCTTAATCTTAATTAAAGACTACTCCTAAAGTTACTTATCCTTCTATCTACTTAGGTTTAATCAAACGAACGCTTTAAATCCTACCTAGCCGATAACCGGCTATAAGTCCTTAGCAAGCCTACATACCCTACTTTAGTAATATATATATTGTTTAATTTTAGTAGTAATCAATTTCAATTTGTATAAGAACATTATAATATAAGTTTTTTTAATATTTATTTAGGTATAGATGGATTATTAATATATTTCGTTTTATTAACGATAATAATTATACTTATAGCTATATTATCTAATTAAAACTCAATAACCGAAAATATTAAATTTTATTTAATAATAATATTACTATTAGAAACTTTATTATTAGCTGTCTTTTTAGTATTAGATATATTATTATTTTATATTTTTTTTGAAAGTATACTACCTCCTTTATTTTTATTAATAGGTTTGTTCAAATCTAGTAATAAAGTAAAAGTAAGTTATTATATTTTCTTATATACATTATAAGGATTATTATTCTTATTATTATCTATATTAACTATGTCTTTTATAATAGGAACTACAGATTTTGAAGCATTATTTAAGAATAATTTTGATTATACGACTTAAATATTTTTGTTTTGTAGTATATTTATAGCGTTTGCAGTAAAAACTCCTACTATTTTTCTAAATAGTTGATTATTAAAAGCTTACGTTGAATCTTCTTTAGGAGGAAGTATAGTTCTTACTAATATTGTATTGAAATTAAGTTTATATAGTATATTTAGATTAATTTTACTAATATTACCTAAATCTTCTTTAAATTATACTTATATTATATATATAATAGGTGTAAGAACTATAATATATGCTAGTTTTAGTACATTAAGAACAATAGATATAAAAGAATTAATTGCATATAACTTAGTTTTACATACGGCTGTTTATTTAATAAGAGTTTTTAGCAATACTATTTAAGGAATAGAAGGAGGAATCCTTCTAAGATTAGCTTATAGATTCGTATCGAGCGGTTTATTTATATATACAAGAGGTATACTATATAATAGATTTGGAACTAGATTAATTTATTTTTATAAAGGTTTAGCTTAAACAATACCTTTATTTTCTATTTTATTTTTTATATTATCTTTAGGTAATTGTAGTGTACCTTTAACTTTAAATTTTGTAGGAGAATTTATATCTTTATATAGAGTTTTTGAAAGATTACTACTTTTAAGTATTATAGCTAGTTCTTCTATTATACTTTCAACTACATATACTATTTATATGTTTAATAGAATATCGTTTGGAGATTCATTTAGTAAATTTTTTATAGAAAATATAATAGATATTACAAAACGAGAATTTTTCTTATTGTTTATTTTAGTATTTATTACAGTAATATTTGGAATATATTCTTCTTTTATCTTAGATAGTTTACATTATTCTATTATAAGCTTAATATTTTACATATAAAATATAAATTTCTATTTTTACGTACTTTATAACATACAGCTTAACTAAGTTATAACTAAGGTTGAAAAATAGGTGTAATTAGATTATACGTTATAGCCTTAAAAAAAAATAAAAATACTCCTTCCCTTAAATTCAAACTCGTTATATAGTTAGCGTAAATAGTAAATACTATTTAGAAATAAAATGAAAAAAAGAAATGCCTCAATTAGTACCTTTTTACTTTGTAAACGAAATTACATTCACTTTTATAATTATCGTATTAACAATATATATACTATCAAAGTATATATTACTTAGATTTGTACGTTTATTTTTATCTCGTAGTTTTATATAAAAACTTCTTAATAGATAATTATAAGTAGAGTCGTTATAGATTACGGCGCAACTTCAAAATTAGAAAAGGTTTAAATACTCTAATTGAATTTTTTTTTCGAATTTATATAAGTTACTTAAAAACTTTCTTAGTTTATTTATACATAACAGTTAGTATATATTTGTTATAAAGTTAGTATTTAAAGAGTATATAGTAAAAGGCTTAAAGTATATAAGTACTTTAAGTATAGAATCTAATGTTAAAGTAGTTAATTTATATAAAGATATTCTTAGTCTATTAAAACAATTTGAAATAAGAGATTTATTAAGTTTAGATACTCTAGGAAACTTACATATATTTATTACTAATATAGGCTTTTATTTAATAGTAGGAGCTTTTTTTATATTTATATTGAATATTCTAAGTATAAACTATAATAAATTAGTTAGTAATACTTAATTTATAAGTTAGGAATCTTTGTATACTACTATACATTCAATAGTTACAAATTAAATAAACTCTAAAAGTGGTTAAGTATATTTCCCTTTTATTTATACTTTATTTATTTTTATTTTAATAAATAATTTAATAAGGTTAGTTCCTTATAGTTTCGCTTTAATAAGCTATTTTATATTAACATTTTCTTTAAGTTTTAGTATAATTTTAGGTGCTACTATATTAGGATTCCAAAAACATAGTTTAGAATTCTTTTCATTATTAGTTCCTTTAGGTTATTCGTTACCTTTATTACCTTTATTAGTTCTTATAGAATTTATTTCTTATTTAGCTAGAAATATTTCTTTAGATTTAAAATTAGCAGCTAACATTTTATTAGGTTATATACTATTAAATATATTAGCTGGTTTTATATACAATATTATAACAAGTAGTATAATATTCTTCTTTTTAAGATTAATACCTTTAGCTTTTATTATTACTTTTTCCAATTTAGAGTTAGGAATTGCATTTATATAAGCATAGGTATTTATAGTTTTGACATTTAGATATATAAAGGATAGTTTAGATTTACATTAATAGAGGATAATATAAAGACTCTTTGATATAATAATAGAAAATTTTCTTTTATTTCGCTTAACTCTTCTAAGAAATATTATTCTATAGCGAGTAATCTATCTATTAATTCTCTAAGTAGTCCTAGTTTTAATAATAAAACTAGTTTAGAAAGTTCTAATCTAACTATTAAAACTTTAGCTAAAAGATATTAAAGAAATACTATAGGATTAAGAGCCTATGAAAATCGCAAAAAAGATGAAATATCTAAATAATATATAGAAAGTGTTAACGTTTTTTATTACTCCGATTATATTAATAAGGATAATAATAAAAGGAATACATTTGTAGTAATATAAGAGGACCGTCTAAATAGGTTAAGTGAAAAATGTAAGGTAATATAAGATACTATTGTAGCTAAAGATCCTAGATTATCTTATAGTTCTTAAACTACTAGTCGTAATAGTTTAGAAAGTAGAAATAGTTTCATAGAAGATAATACTAATAAAAATTAAGCTTCTTCTAGTGAAACTAATCTTAGAGAAGATAATACTAATGAAAATCAAACTTCTTCTAGTGAAACTAATCTTAGAGAAGATAATACTAATGAAGAATTACCTAATAACGATAATAAAAGAAAGCGTAATAAGGAAGATTTTAAGGTAAAAGAAGCTTATCTAGCTAAAAAGTCAAAATCTAATAATAACTCTGAAGGTCCTAATAGTCCTAGTAGTCTAGGAGGTTTTAGTAGTCCTAGTAATTTAGGCGGTTCTTAAGATCCTTCTAATAGTTTAGAAAGAGGAGGTAATAATAATTATAGTATAATATATTTTTTCAGTTTTATTGCAGCTAGTATATCTTAAGCTATAGAAAATTTATTTTAGGTGTAATAATTTAAGTTTAGAGGAAAAAGTTAAGAACTAAAGTAATCTTTGTAAGAAAGATCTTATAAATCTACGTAGAAGTACAAATTATTATATTAATAAATATTCTTAGAGTTAACGCTATTCTAAAGGAAGCCTCGATTATCCTAACTTAAATAAACTACTCAAAAATTTAAAAAATAAGACTATATTATTATAATATAGTCTTAAGGCATATTAGTTTAAAGGTAAAATAGAGTACTTAGACTACTAAAAACTAAGTTCGAATCTTGTATATATTAGCCAAATTTGGCGATAAGAAATAATTGATGATTATAAATAAAATAAACATTTATTATTTTAGGAAAGTTATAGTTATTAATATATAAATATATAAATATGAAGTAAAGTTGTAAGTTTCTTAATAGAAAATTTTAATAAGTTACTAAATAATTTAATATTTAATAATAAAGAACTTTATTATAGAATACTAAGCCTATTAGAACTATTATTTAGAGAGATTGAGTAAATAAGAAATAAGTTAAGTTAATTCCAATTAAGGCTACGTCGTATGTAGTTTTTAGGTAATATGTACCTTAGAAAGGGGAAGAGAGTAAGGCTATCTATTTATATAAAGGCATCTTCCTCTTAGGCTATTAAATTATTATCCGATATTTTTTTTGATCTAGGAATTTAAAAAAGTTATAGTGATATTATAAATCTAAGATGTAAGATCTTTTTTCGATCTTATAAATTAGATCCTAGGACATCTTAAAGATATAGATGAGTTTAGTAATAGCTCTAAATAAACATTGTCTAAATACTTAATACATACTAATCGAACGTTTAATTTAATTAATTAAAAGTGGTATATAGGTAAGTATTAGATTTTTGACTAGCTTTAAAGAGAAGGTAATAAATCCTTTATAAAAAAAAATAAAAGGGGAAACCGCTTTAAGAGGAAAAGAAATATCGTAGAGATAAGTAGTTGTTAAGGTAATAGCTTAATAAGCCTACAATTCTCTTAGTCGAAGCTGAAACGGTTGATCGACTACATTAGGGATGAAAAAATCCTAAAACAAGTAAGTATAGTAGTAAAGAATTTTGGTCAATAGCCTAACGGCTAAACTAGTAAGTTGGAGGAACGTTATAAATCGTTTTATCGAATAAAGTTCTATATATATATTTATAATAACAATATATACATTTGTCTTAACTAATTACGTACTAATAGTCGCGGTAATACGTAAGAGACTAGTGTTATTCATCTTAAATAGGTTTAAAGGGTACTTAGGCAGAAAAATTAGCTTTAACAAGGTATAATTTTTCTAGAGTTTTATAAGAGAAGGTAGTACTTATAAGTAGAGAGATAAGATTTGTTAATACCTAAGGGGACTAGTAAAGGCGAAGGTAACCTTTTATATAAAAACTAACGCTAAAGGATAAAGGCACAGGGTACAAATAGGATTAGATACCCTAATAGTCTTTGCAGAGAATTATAAATACTATAGATTAGATTGACCGTTTAATTAGATAGTTTATAAATAAGATTTTTAACTATATTTATATTAGTAACTAAATTATTTGTAAAACTATTTAAAAGGTAAGATTATATATTTATAATCTTTATATTTGGTTTATAAACGAAAATGTAAGCATTTTATCTTAAGAGTAATATAGCAACGTAGGAACTAAAATCACTAGGCCGTTTCTAACCTTAGTAGTAAAGTATATTATTTAATTCGATAATCTACGAAAAACCTTATTACAATTTGAATATTAATAAAGCTATAATTTATTAATACAAGCGTTGCACGGCTATCTTCAGTTAATATTGTGAAACTATAGTTCGGTCTATAAAATTAACGGAAACCTTTACTTTATTTATAATATTAATTAATAAAGTAATTCGCATTTATAATGTTATATGATAGAAGAGACTAAGACAAGTTATCATAGCCTTTATATTGTAGGCTATAGACGTACTACATTTTTCTAAACAAAGAGATACAAAAATATGAATTTGAGCTAACCTTAAAAAATAGGATAAAATAGAAATAGATTGTAGTCTAAAATTCGGCTACATAAATAAGAAATTGCTAGTAATCGTGAATTACTATAACACGGTAAATATAACTTCGGATTAGTACTAATTACTTGTCGCATATTAAAAAGAATTGGCGTAATAAGTTTACTCTTCTATTATAAGTAAGTAAAAATCAAAGTTTTAGATATTATATTGGAATTCTTCCTATATACAATTCTAATTAGTATTAAGTCGAAATACAGTTCGTATAATAGAAGTTGTACGGAACAATTAAAAATAAATAATAATATATATATATTATTTTTACGCTATATATTAGTATATATATTATATATATAAAGGAGGGTTCCTTTATTAGTAAGAAGGGCTAAGCTGTAAACTTGGTACTATTGTAGTTTTAAGAGTTCGAATCTCTTATCTTTTAAAAATATTCCCTATCGCTTTTTATATAACTAGGGTAAAGTATACTATACTTATATTTATATATAAAAAGTCTAAGGTAGCTTATAAAATAAAGGTAAGACTTAAATTATATAATATATATATATAATAATATCTCTATAGCTTAACAGTAGAGTATAATACTATTAATATTAGGATAGAAGTTCGATTCTTCTTAGGGGCGAAGGATAACTATAGTTCTAGTTATCTTATATTTTACGAGTATATATAAATTTGCTAACTCTATCCAAAAGTTCTTAAACTACTATTTAATTATACCTAGGAGACTCTTACCTTCTCCCCCGAGTTAGGTATAAAAAAAATAAAAATAGAATAAAAGTGTAATTATTATTTGTTTTAATATAATAATATATATAAGTAATACTATTAGAAGTAATTTTTAAGATTATCCTTTTCATTTAGTATCTTTATCTCCTTAACCTTTATATACAAATATCTCTTTATTAAATTTAATAAGTATTGTAGCTTTATTTATATATAATTTTAATAATAGTCACTATTTATTATATTTAGCTTTAATACTTTAAGTATTAACTATATCATTTTGATTTAGAGATATAATATCTAAAGGTACTTTTTTAAGAGATTATATATTAGCTATACAAAAAGGATTAAATTTAGGTATTATTTTATTTATAATATCTGAAGCCTTATTTTTTATAGCTATGTTTTAAGCATTTTTCCATAGTACTTTGACTCTTATAGTAGAATTAGGAGCTTAATAACCCCCTATTGGAATCGAACTTATTAATCCTTTCGAATTACCTCTTCTTAATATAGTAATTTTATTATTAAGCGGAGTAACTATAACATATACTTATTATTCATTAATATAAGGAAAAAGAGAAGGAGCTTTATATAGTTCAATAGCTACAGTATTACTAGCAGTAATTTTTACTTTCTTTCAAAGAGTTAAATATAGCGTATCATCTTTTACTATAAGTGATAGAGCTTTTGATACATGTTTTTTTTTTAGAACAAGATTCCATAGATTCTATATTATAATAAGTACAATCTTTTTAGCTATTAGTTTATAAAGAATATATAATTATTAGTTAACTAACAATCACTATTTAGGATATGAAGGTAGTATACTTTACTAACATTTTATTAATATTATTTGACTAGCTTTATATTTCTTACTTTGTTATTAAGGATCTTAGTCTAAATTTAATAGGTTAGTAGAGTTTTAAAATTCTAAAGAGTTATTAGTAGGATAAGACTAGGAATCTAAGTTATATAGGGTAATAGTCTCTACATTTTTATTTTTATTACTTTAAGGGTCTTAAATAAAAACTTAAGTCTTTAAAGAGGATTTTAGTATAATAGTAATACATATGACTTTTAATTATAAAGAAATTGGTTCGAATCCGATAAATCTTAAGTGAATATAGATTAAGGTACTATATTAGATACTACTATATAAGATACCCGAGGTAGTTTTAATAAGATAGTAGAGTTTTATATAAATCGTCCTATTTCCGTATATAGAGCAACTATGATTTAATAGTAAAATTGTCGATTACTACCTAGAGTATATCGGTTTAAATCCGACTAGTTGTAACTATAAATACCGCCGTACTAATATTGTGCCGGAATTATAATATATAAAGGGCATAATTTAAGAGTAAAATAATAATTTTCTATATTATAAATTTAGGTTCTAATCTCGATACCTTTAATATAGTAATACCTCTATTTTAAGTTAAGTAATATAGGCGTTATACTATTTTGTAGCTTCGGTTGCATTGAAAATTATTTGAATAGGATACAAATATATTTAAGTATATATTTCTTCATCGATTAAAAAAAAAGAATTATCTATTAATAAGCGTAGCTATAAATGAAATATTAAGAATTCGACTAACTATAAAGAATTAGTAACTTAATTGGTAAAGGGCTTCTTTATTATAAGAGTAGATGCCGGTTCGATCCCAATCTAATTCGTACTAGGGAAAAGTTGCTATAAGTAAAGCGAGACATTTGCTAAATATTATGTTTTTATACTTAGGTATTCAATTTACCTCTTTTCCGATAAAAGCTTAAGTTTCAATTAATATTGCTATAAAATACGTTATATTATAACCTCCTAAGGTAATATTCTTAAGACGCAAATACGCTTTCCTCTAAAGACAGTAGGAATCAATAGGAAGAATTAAGTAGTTAGTTTCTCAGCTACTTAAACTTCCTCCTCTCTTCGTAAACCTCCTATTTTTATATAAAGTAATAAAAAGAGTATAGTTTAAGGGTAAAATAGAAAGCTTTAACCTTTAAATTCTCAATTCAAATCTAAGTACTCTTAGTATATAGTGTAATAAAAAAGGCTTTTATATACAATACTATATTATATGTCTATATATTAAGTTCCTTTCTTTGTTAAAGGTAAAATTTTTTAATATATTATAAATAGTTTATTTTTAATAAACGAAGTATATACTAATAGTTCTATACCTAGTATATTAGATATAATCTCTCTAATTACTATAATATGTGTTATATTTGTTATAATAAGTAAAAATCTAGTTATCTTAGTATTATTTTTAATAGGTCTATTTGTAGGAATATTATCATATTTAATTATATTAGGGTTAACGTTTATATGTTTAGCTTACTTAGTTGTATATATAGGTGTAATATTAATATTATTTTTATTTATCTTAATATTAATTAACATTAGAATTAGTAAGCTTTAAGGGAATACTAATAATAGCTTATTATTATCTATTTTAATAGGTATTTTTTTTAGTTATACTTTTTTTGAATTAGCATATTATAATCTAAGTGGCGCAAGTTCTAAAAACAATTTAGATATTTATTTAAAATTAAGCGTAAGCTCTAAAAAAAACATCCTTAATGTTGAGAATAATCAAGTATTATTTGTTACTAGTAATACATAAGATGGTAATTTAGCTGAAAATAATTATATTACGGCTATAGGTAATATTATATATACTAATTATAGTATTTGATTAGTAATAGCGAGTTTTATATTATTATTGGCAATGGTTAAGGCTATTGTAATTATAATAAAACAAAAAAATTAAATATTTAAAGAGATTAGCTTAATAGTAGAGCAACCGTTTTACATACGGTAGGTTAGGTGTTCGAATCACTTATTTCTTAAGGATTAAAGTATAAAATTCTTTAACTTAATAGGTAAAGTGCATTTTTGATAAGAATATTATTCAAATTCAAGTCTTAAAAGAATTACGGTCGTTATAAATGTAAAGGAGGAATACTATTTAGCCTAAAAAAGGTTGTTTAGGTAATAACCTTCGAAAGAGAGAATTAGCCGAGTAGTTTAAGGCGGTAAGTTTAAGTTTTATTTAATTTTTAAATGTTATATCTATTCGAATCGGATATTCTCTATTATTATTATACGGATTAGGGCTAGGTAGTAAGGCGCCTCGTTTAGGTCGGGGACTTCCTATGTTCGAATTATAGTAATCCGAAAATAAAAATTTATTAGAAATATAAATAATATAAATATAATTTAATTATATATATAATATAATTATATATATATATTTAAGTATACAAAGAGACTATTTATAAAGTATATAAGCTATGTATTAAAGAGATTTTTTATTAAATATAAACTCTTAGAGAAATTACTTAATAAACGAAGTAAAGTGAAATATCTTATTAGCTTTAGGAAAAGAAATTAAACGAGATTCTATAATTAGTGTAAATGAAAATAGATTAGCCTATAATAATAAGTAAAATGGCTTTTAAGCTGTTTGAATTATATAGGGAACCTTCCTCAAAGGCTAAATATAATATATAAGCGATAGTTAAAAGTACTGTGAGGGAACAACATTTAAAATAGTAGTTTTATAAGTAGCTTAAGCTAAATTAAAAAAGCAAGAGCGTACCTTTTACATAATAGGTTACTAAGTTAACTTTAGGTGCGAGTAATATTAAATATAAGTATAGTTAAACTAATTATTAAAATAATGAAGAGTATCTAAAGTTAGACCCGAAGCTTAATAATCTTACTATAGTTAAGATTATAAAAGTCCGAACGAGTTATCGTTGTAAAGATATTTGAAGAACTATAGTAAGTAAGTGAAAGATAATTCTAACTAAGATAGCTAGTTTTCTACGAAACCTATATTAGTAGGCAATTTAAGTAATATCTTAGTAAGTATAGAACTTAATCTTAGATAAGGTATATATTTTCATATATATTTATAAAAATACATTTTATTTTGTATATATTAAAGGATTGTAAAGATTCTATCGGTAAGTATATAGACTTGAAATAATAAAGATAAATCTTAAATTATCAAATATAAAATAATAAGGTTGTATATTAAAAGGGAAATAGCCTAAAACAAAAGTTAAGGTTCTAAAATTATTATTAAGTGAAATTAAGAAGGTTTTTATTTAAGTTAATAAGGAGATAGGCTTAGAAATAGTTATAATTTAAAGATCTCGTAATAAAGTACTTATTAAATTTTAAAAGCATCGAAAATCTAACGGATCTAAATAATATACCGAAACCTTATCTATATTTAACAATAAACATAAGACGTAAGCTATTATTATTATAAATTAAAGTAGTAGAACGTTGAATTAATATAAGATTTTTTAGCTACGCTATAAAATTATAATATAATTCAAATAAGAATAGTAACATAAGTAATAAAAAAGCAAAGTTTTGCTTAAAGCTTATAGATATAAAAAGTAACGGCTTCTAAGTTTATAATCTAAAGGTTATAACGATAAGAAAATCTTATTACTTAATAAAACAACATTTTTAAGTAGAAAGTATACTAGAAGAATAAGTAAGTAATAAATAATAAACTAATAAACTAAAAAGATAAGGTTTTTTATTTTTAAATAACCGTACCTAAAAACTTTATACGTATAAGCTAGTAGAGAATACGAAGGCGTAAATGAGATAATAATTATAAAGGAACTCGGTAAATTAACTATCGTAACTTAAGGATAAGGAAAGCTTATTAGTCTCGATTAATATAAATAAAAACGAAGAAGTATAAAATAATATTATACGACTATTTAATTAAAACAAAATACTTTGCAAAAAGATAATAAATCTAAGTATTGAGTATAATTTTTACTTAATACCGGCTAGTTAACGAATTAACTAAATTAATAAAGTTTAGTCTTAAAGGAACCCTTAGTTAATAGTAGCTTTAACGTAAAGGTTCTAAGGTAGCGAAATACCTTAGCCGTTAAATACAGTCTTATATAAATAATATAACGATACAATAGCTATCTCTATAATTGACTTAGTAAAATTAGAATAACTATACAAATACAGTTTACCTCTAGATAGACGAGAAGACCTTATACAGCTTTACTATTACTAATTATTGAGTATAATACTAGGAAATTTTAGTATATAAGGTAATTGATTAAATAAAACTGAAATACCTTTATTTTTCGATTATATTATTTAACCTTTAATTTAAAATTTTTAGGCGTAAGCGTGCTTTGCCTAAAAGTTCAACAAAAGGAACAATTGCTAGGAGACAATTTATACGGAGCATAGACCCTACAAAGAGTAAATGGGTGTATCTAAAATATTTATATATTTGTAAAGATTGTTTTACATTTTATATACTATTTTTAATAAATGAATTATTTATTATTTGTTTATTTGTAGTTTTAAATAGAATTAATTCTATATTTAATTCTATGTATATATAGTATAAAAATATTTTACGTATTTATTATGTAATTTAATTAAAGGAAATTAGATAAGATTTTAACTATAGAGAAATTAGATGTAGTAAAGATATTATTAGCCCGAAAGCCTTAAGATAAGTCTTTAATATTTAGAATTATTATAAGCTATAGCTATAGCGGACTTTTTTAAAGGCTGCTAATTACTAATTAGCCTTAATAATATTATTTTATACTTATTAAGTTTAATAGCTTAATCTTACTTTACTATTTGATTAATAATAAATCTTATAATCGCGTAAGCGGGGTATAGGATTATAAGATATAAAAAGAAAAGATCTTAGATTTTTGGAAAAGCTACGCTAAGGATGTTTGTCCTTCAATATCTTATATGAAATATTTATTATATAAAATGATTGATAATAAATTGGGTTAATTTCAAAAATTACTATTGAAAGATAGTAGTTTTTAACTTTTAGCTAAATTCCGTTAGCTATAAAGAGTAAATTTGAAGCGAAGTTTATCTTTTATAACTAGTATAAGTATATATAGATATAGGAAATATTAGATAAAAACGTTCAACGACTAGAAGGTAAGTAATATTAATAATAATCCTTTATTAAAACCTAACTTTTTTTTATTATATATAATAGTTATATATTATATTAATTTTATTTTTATGAAGACGTCGTAAAAAAATATAGAGTAAAAGTTTCAGTCTTTATTTATTTTTAATAAATTTATTAAAAATAACTCTAAATTAATACCTTTTAATATAAAAATTAATTATATAAGAGAAACTAAATATTTTCCTCCTTTTTCAAAAGAATGAAAAAATAGTATTTATGTATTTAATTTCAATAACTTAAAGAATTTACCTTTGTACAATATAAATATTAATACATTAGTTAAAAATTATTTTAATTTATATTTTAATTATAAATTTATTAATAATAAATTTAGATTACTTAGAATTAAGCGTTTATCTTTAAATAAAATATTTGTTAGTAAAGTAGAAATAAAGTATACTAATTTTAAGGCAACTGTTACTATTTATACTTATAATCGAGAAAAATTAGTTTTATTAAAAAAAATAAAAATAATAAAAGTTTTGTTTTTTAAAAAAATTCTTTCTTTACTATATAGTGATAAGAAATTAAACCAAGGTAAATTTACTACAACGTTAGCTAGTTTACGTCTAAAAACTATTCTTACTTTATTATATAAAGAATTAATATTATTTAGAAGATTCAAATTAAAATTAAGTCTTAATAAATATAAATTTGAAGAAAGATTTTTATATAAATTAAGTAAGCTAATTAGTAATTTTTATAATAAAAAAGTAGAATTTAATCTAATAAATATGAAATCTATTATTCTTAATAGTGATTTTTTTACGAAAATTTTAAGCTTAAAATTAAAAGATAGAAAAGTTAATATAATAAGATTAATGAATATTATATTAAATAAAGTTAAATTCCCTAAAGTAAATAGAGTAAGAGAAAAATC